TTTTTTTTTAAATAATAAATGAAAAGAAAACAGGTAGATATCATAGAAAAAGAATAGAGAGTTCTAGTGTTAGAGAGTCAATTATTTGAGGAGAGGAGAGTATTATTATGATGATAACCACAGGTGACTCCACATCGCGTTCGCTGTCTGTCTTTGTGCAAAGAAAGTAGGAAAAATCAAATCCAAATTCAGTCCAAACTGCAAGTACATTATTGTCATGTGTTTTGATCAAGGGCTCAGTAGGGATGGACTGGGATGTGAACAGGTTCATAAGCACTAAATATAGCACTAAATTATTATTATTATAATTGTTTTTCTATTTTGGTGCATTTTGGAGAGAAAAAGTATTCTTAAATTCCAGCTCCATTCTGCAAGAGAAAAAAATCGTATGTTTTTGTTTTTCACTTTAATCAGAATATTATTGCATAACAAACTTTGTTTATTATCTTTCTTTGTGCTCAGTTGAAATCTGACTTCTTTTTTTTTCTTCAAATTTCAGAGTTTCTTGAAACATCTCAAAGGATGAAAAATACATAAAATGTGTAACATGAACTGTAGTTCTCTATTCTCTGGCAGACTGACACGGTCAATTATGAAACGGTGTATAATAGCTTATAGTATATATGCTTCTGTTCTGAACAAACTGATTACTGTACAACTGAATTCATTAAGCTGCTTTTTCCAAGCAAATGATGAAGAATTTCACACTCAATCATTTCTGGTCACTGAGCTATATTCACAGTTGTTGTAGTCTTGTGTTGTTTTCTTAACATGTAGCATTTTAATTGTATTGTGCTGAAATAAACAAAACGACTTTGGGGGGAAAAAAATTCATTTTGATGAAAGAGATTCAAAGATCTGAATCAGTAATATGATCCGAACTTCCCATCACCAGTGGCGGCACTAGAGTGGTGCTTGCTGGAGCCCATATAAGGTATGAATCTACCTTATTTTTCCCGTAAAAGTGGGCGGAGTTGCCAACTTAGCAATTTTGTTGCTACATTTGGCAAATTTTCAGACTACCATAGCAACATTTTTTATTTATTTATTTTTTTATTTTATGAAGTATACAACATTCCACACTTTCAGTTTTTTTGTTATTTAAGTGCATCATCTAGGTATTTAACCCTCCATGCGACTAAGAGTGATTTCACAGCTTGAAAAAAAAAAGACTTTGTATTTTACATATATTTAGGAGTAAAATCATTTTCCAAAATTTGATTTCTACATCTGATCTTTGACCTCTTTTTTAGGGTAAATTATTTTTGGCAAATTGTTTGAAACTTCACACACAATCAAATGCTTTTTGGCTATCTCAAAAGAAGAGAAAAAGTCTTACTGTTTCAAAAACATTAAAAATCTTTATGCACATTCAATTTCTTCTTGTGCTGCTATATTTGATTTGGAAGTCACGCCATGAAAATGTCTAAAACCTGACACAAATTCGAATGCAATTCCACTGCCTAAAAACCATGTCTTAGTGTTTCAAAAGCATTACAACCACTTTAATATTGTGTTTCATCTTGGAATTTCAAATCAATTATCAAGTCAACAAGACTCTTCTTTTTCAGTGTACCCCACACATAAGTA